GGGAGCCGGGCGGCGGCCGGGCGGTGCTCTCCCGCCGCCTGAGTGGGCGCGGCGCGGGACGGCGGCGCGGGGTGCCGGGAGCCATGGGCTATTGCAGCGGCCGGTGCACGCTGGTGGCCGTGTGCGGCGCGCAGCTGGTGAGTGGCGGCGGGGGCGGCCCGCGGAGGAGGGGGGAAGGAAGGCGGGAGGGAAGGAGGGGGCGGCGGGGCGGCTCCCCCGCTGCCCGGAGTGGGGGCTCGGGGAGGGGCAGGGTGGGAAGGCAGCGCCCGCGCTTTGGGCGAGGAGGGGCCGGGGGAGGCCGGGATGGGGATGCGAGCGAGGCGGCAGGGTGGGAAATTGGGGCTGTGTTACAGGTAGTTTGGCGGGGACTCCGCCGGGGAGGCTGCGGTGGCCGCACGGCGGAGTTAATAAACTCGGGCAGTTCTCCCAAGCGTTGAGTCAAGTTGGTACCTGGTTTCCTTTGACTGGCCCTGTGCAAGGCAGAGACGCGTGTCAGGCGTGATGCGCAGCTTGCAAACAGTTTGCCATACAGGTGTGTCTGTGGGAAGTTGTCACGCCTGAGCTGTTCTGCAGATGTGCATTTTTTGTTTTTGTTTTGTTTTGTTTCAGACTTGTTGTCCAGTGTACTTTAACATTGTATCATTATGTTGGTACGGAACTCAGCCATATATTTCTATTTACCTTTGGAAAAGACATGTGGCAGCACTTGTAAGCTCAGCTACGAGCAAAAGTAGATTGAGTTTAAAAAGTAGGCACTGAGATAAAATAACAAAGAAGCTGCCTTAAAATAGATCTGCTTAGCAAGATGGTTAGACTGTGCAATTGTGTGTTTTGTGGCACTTTGAAAGAGACTGGGGTTAAAGTTAAGAAACTCATATCCCTTTCTGTAATGTATACAATGGGTTATTTCATTGTTGTGGAATCAGATACATGATATAAGAATTCCCGTGGATTTGGATGCAATGACATACAGATAAAGACTTACCAATGGAATATGCCCCATTTCTTATTCTCATTATATTGAATGTTCATGTGCTGGCAGAACAGATGCTGGAAGCACCTTTGTGAAGCAGTTAACCTTATGGCAGAAGTGAAATATTTCATGTTACTCCATCGCTCTACCTCTTAGTGAACAGTTTTGCTGAGAAAGTGTAAGTCAGTGTCAATAGCAACCAGCATTGTTGCCAATTTCTTTCCTGGAGGTAGCCAGAACTACAGTAAGAGAACTACAAAAGAAGAAAAACATTAGATTTCAGGAACCAAATCAGTAAAACAGTACATAAGAAAGGAGGATGTGTTAGCAGATGAGAAATTTGAAATGCCTGTGATCTTTTCATCAGTTGTCATCAATCCCTAATAATTTTCTATTCTGGAAAACATTTTATTTGTATATGCTGTTTCCCACCTAAGTTATTTAATTCTTTGTAACTGGATGTATCTTATCAGATATGATTTATTCATGTATATTGTCTAAAAAGGAATCTTGAATAGTAGTAAGAGAGTGAATCTTGAGTGGAATGGTAGGAATGTAGCCTTTTCCAGCAATTTGGCAATATAAAATTAATGACTGAAGTTCTTCAGATCCATTTAAGTTCCAGAGGGATACTTTTTTTTTTTTTTTTTTTTTTTTTTTTTTTTCCTCCAGAGGGGACAAACTTAAATTGTGCCTCTTACAGAGCTTTTTTTTTTTTAATTTTTTTTTAATGCATTTAACAACCAAGACATCATGATGACTATAGAATGTGCTAAGACGTTAAATTGTGATTTTTTTGAAAGTTTGTGAAGGAAAGCATATTTGCTAACTCATGGTGACAAAAAATACATGCAGAACTCATAAAAACATCAACAGAAATTCCCTGTAGGAATGTATCAGCAGGTGGATGAGCAGGTAAGCTAATGCAGAACTGTAGCATTACTTTCTGCATGAAGCTTCCTACAAGTGATTGTAAACTAGAGGGTCAAATAAACATATTTTTTAAAAATAAATACTGTTTTCTGGAGTAGCTTAAGGAAATTTTTAAGAGAACCATAAACTGAAAGCTAACCTGAAAATTTTTATTGAGCAAGTAAAGGATGTGCTAACAGCAATGAAAACTTCTGAATCACACTTGGCCTGTGTCATGGTATTTAGATAGGTTAAAAGCAGGAGTAATCATTTAAATGAGAAAAAGGAGACAGAATGGAAAAAAAAAATACACATTTTATTAAAATCATGTGTCACATTCCTTCATGTGCCATATACCATCAGATGGGAATAGGTTATGAGTTTTAAGTCAAGGAGATTTTACTCTCCTCAGTAGGCCCATGGGTGATTAGTCAGTTGTCAGTACTTTTTTAGGTAAAGACTACTTAAAGGAGCAAATGCTGTCAAGATTCATCCTGGAATTATCAGCCACATTAATGAAGATGCAAATAAAAAATAAAGGCTCCGGTAGTTATCTGGCCTGAGGAGATGGATGTGGAAAGCATTTCCACACTGGTAACCATACTTAAAAAGAAAGTGTAAAACTTCAACTGTGAAGACTATGTGTTACTGGTACCTGGGATTCAGTTTTAAAATGGTTATATTTGAGTAGAAAGTATACTTTTGTTTTGGGGAAAAAAAGTTGGTAAGAAGAAAGGTTTCTTTCTTTTTTTTAAATGTAAATATGTTCTTCCATCTCTCTAGGGTGTGGTGATCTAATTGGTCTTTGTAAGCACTGCACAATAAACAGTATTGTGGAATACTGCAGTTCATTAGAGAAGCTTTTGCATATTGTACACACATAAAGGATGTCGATGTCACAAATGGGTAAAAAAGGGGGTTGTTTCAAATACTGGTGCAGGAGTAGAGCTGCATTAGCTTGAGAGACCCTGCACAAGCAGAATTATTTTCATAAATGAATTTTAAGTGCTCATAGTTAAGGCAACATACTGTATACCATCGGATTATCAGAAACCTCAAGGAATGCTTCTGCTCTCAAGGGCATACTGATCATTACTCTCTGCTTATTAACATATGTATACCTCACTGTTTGTGCTCTCATTTGTACTATGGAAAACAACCTTTGACAGCTCATTTTCCTCTGCGTTTGTAGCCAATGAGAAAAATTAGCAGCAAGTAAAAGCTAATTTTACTTATGTTAGGAGCAAGGCATTGCCTTCTGTGTACCAAATTAGTTATCTCTCCCTCTCTCCATATATATATATATATATATATATATATAAAGATACTACTTTTGATCTCTTTTGCTCATTTCCCTTCTGAAGAGAACCCTCAGCACAGGGGCTCTGGTGGTTTTTGTTGTATGGTAACTATCCTGGTTGCAATAAAAGACTTCTCCTCTATTTCATTTTGTCCTTTAAAGCTTTTTATTTTTGGGTGTTTCCTTTTCTATTAATAGCTTGCATCAGTATCTCTAATGTCTTGTTGCCTAGTCTTTTTAATAGAAAGAGCAGCAAAGGTGAAACTGCCAAGATTATTTTGCTTTCTGGAAGGAGTTTTCAAGAGCCGCACAGCAAGCAGTTTGAAACTTTCTTCTTTCCCATTGTTGCTTCTTGGGAAAACTTGGAGCATGACAAAACAAGAAAAAGTACGTTTTCAACTTAGAAGGTCTCTCCACCAAGTGCAGTGATGAGGAAGGACAGTATTTCATAAGGAAACTTTTAAGTCCCTAGTAATCATTGCCTTATTGTTTCTCACCATCAAACAAAGATTGCCATACTCCCAAAGGAAATTAGATAACAGATAATTCAGCTTCTACACTCCCTTCTCTCAGTTTCCATCTAAATTTACTGAACTCATTTTATAAATATTTCTGTAAAATTTGCCTGTTCTGCCTGTTGTTTTTCTTTTCTTCCTCTTTTTTTTTTTTAAGTAAACTGTATTGCAGTTCAAATATTCGAACTAAGTATTAAAAACCATACAAAATTTGTAAACAAGCCATATATATATGCAAAGGGTCAATTAGTGATTGTGAGGTACTGGATCTGATGCTCTAAAGAAGTATGTATTATAATGTACATACATTATCTGAATCTCTGAAAACTGGTATCTTTCTCCAGCACCAGTCTATGATGCTTGTAAAGTCTCAGTCCTCTTTCTGACACTTCACAGTTTGGGCTATGAGCACACAAGCTCGTGGTGACTCTTTCTGAACTCATCCTGTCTGGCTGAAGCTACTGTCCAAGTCTGTTGTGCTGGCCAAGCAGAACAAAAAGGATACCCAGATTTGGTTGGTTTGCTAAGAGGCCAGCTCTTTAGAGCTAATGGAAAAAAATGATCAAAATGCAAATGGTTTGTATAGAATGTCGTCGTTCTGTACTTTTCCACAAGTGAATAATGCTAATTAAGAGAAAATTAAAATACTTTGTTTCAGAAACTGTTTCAGCTGAGGTAATTTCTATACTTAACTGTGATACTGGCGTCCATAAACACATACTTAATTGCCTGTTGGACATGAAGATACATCTTTGAACTGCAGCACGTAGAGTGGTGGAACCCAGGAAATGAATTACATACAAACTGGTATGGAAAGATGTATCTACTGTATTTCTTCTATGACAAGAAGTGTTGAAAGAGATGTCCATAATCAATATTGCACACTTAATATAAGACTGAAGAGTTCCTTGTAGTCTTCCAATTCTCCCTTGCATTATTAAAAATCAGCAGATATAACTAAAGAGAACAGTGTGATACTTGGGGAAAAAGTATGCCTTAGTGATAGGTCCTGTAAAGTTTAGGTTTGCCCTTTTTAAATACGAATAGCAAACATTCTTATGCTCATTCAAACCCTTCAGGAATGGTGATCATGACAGGCTCTAGTCTATAACACAAATATAGCTACAAGGTTTAATACAGTTAATGTCATGAATATCCTTACTTGGAGAAAACCTCATGTTTTTAACGGTTTTGAGGTTTATTTCTCAGGACTTTCACAGAGTGAAGTTTGCTGGATTAGAGCTCAGTTCCCACTGAGAGCAAAGCAAAGGCAATCACAGTGGATATTCTTTAGAATTAGCTATCCTGAAGTATTATTCAATAAAGAACATATTTTTTGTTAATATAGGGTCTTACACCATGCATAGTGTCAGGGTACTTTGCCATAGCACACCAGACTACATAACTAGTGAACGTAGAATGTCTTTTTTTTTTCAT